AAGGTAAAACCTTGGATAGGCTAGGATTAAAAAATGCAAAAAACTTTTAGACTAAAATTGTCTAAATGAAACATTATATATCTGTTCTATTTTAAATCCTTTCATGGAGTACTAATAGCAAAAATAAACAATGATGAACAAGATAACAGAGAAGATGTAACATAAAATAATTATAACCTTCTTTCCATTGTCTACTCACATTGTTACAGCATTACAAGTGTTTAAAACATGTTTTAAACAAAATCATTAAACATTATAGAAATTAAGGTACAAATTAAAGGTAACAAGGTAGAAATTAAACAAATAATCAGGTTAATTGATCACTGTAGCTGCGTGATCATGCTTAAAAATTATTAAAACAAAACGGGTTGCAACATCCAACAAACTCTATCGAAGAAGTGCTATGAAACATCCTAACAAACCTAAATGTTCAACATATCCACAACATACCTGTAACATTCTGATAATAGTTTGCAGAGTTAATCGTTATTTATAACCGAGCATGCAGTTATCTCTGAAATTTCTCCAGCAATATACTAAATTGAGAATTACATTTGAGTGGGCATAAGAGACAAATTATCTCTCAACCGGCTCAATACATTGTCTCGAGACAATGAACAAAGACCGTCTCTAGACAATCCACGACTTTGTCACTGTGTCGTGAGTACTTTTAGAGGAAGGATTGGAAGGAGAAATTTAACGATTTATCTTCTATACTATACTCGATCCAAACCACAATTAATTCATTAATAGTATGGAGAGGAAAAATTTCTTGTTAAATTATGAATAAAATATCAATATATTTCGTGAAATGTAAAATTTTCAATTGGAAAGTCTTTGTGACACCATTTTAGTTATGTAAATGTATGTTTAATGTGAAATTTACTATTTATTGTAATTTAATAATGAGTAACGTTGTAAGTAAACGATAGTAACTAAACCACCAAAATTCTCAATGATCAATGTGCGTGTGCTTCCTATAACTTTGTTCATGTTTTTTTCTTAAGACCCTTTTGGCTGTTAAAGACTTTCTTATCGCACATTTGGTAAAAATTTCTGAGGCTTCTCTTTCGTCTAAATCAGGATAAATAGCAGTCTTATCTCTCCCTCTCCCGGCCAAGAAAAATAAAACATCAAAGAGCAGGTAGATGGGAAAATTGAAGTTTTCAAAGAGATTTTCCTGCTACTTTTCCTCTCGGCCAGAGGCTAAAAACTATTTATACGACAAAAACCTATCGATATCGAAACTTATTTTTTTCATAAAATGCATGATGATTGCTTCATTGGATCGTGGAAAATAAGTTTTTTTAAATTGAAATATTTTTAAAATGTAAAAATTCCATAGTTTATTTCCTTAAATATAAACCCGACATCGAGGCTATTTCAAAATTTGGTATCCCTTATGTTTCAATATATTGCAAAGTGTATTAGAGCTTTCCTTATTGATCTCTTATCTTTGTACAATTAAATAGATTAACACTAATCTGGCGATGTTCAAAGAGATTTTTTGATAATGATCCCTCAAACGAACCAAAACTTAAAGCAATTATTTATTTCAATTAAATAAGGAGATTAAATGGTTTATGCCTTTATATTATAAACTGCGTCGGTCGGCAACAGTAGCCTCCCTATCGAGATGAGACCTGGCCTTTTAGCTCATCATCTTTTAATTTTTCCAACGTCAAACGGTAGTCTACCGTAGATATTAAACAGAGGGATTCTCTTTACCCTCTTTTACTGAAGATTCTTTGAGAAATCAAAAGCTAAACAACATTGTTATTCTCTTGGAAATATTAAAAATTGTCTTTACCGACTAGGGTGGGAGAGGTAATATCCTTCATTCTTTTCCGTCTGTAAGTAAGATTTCTTTTTTTTTTAAGAAGGAAAACCACATGATAAAATCCTTTTCATATTCGAGGACTTACAACCATCATTATTAACCTGGCGGCACAATTTTCCGTCAAACTGGCCTTTTAAACGACCCACCGTGATCGACTAATTTTTTTGTATCGTAACACGAACCTCTTTATATACAAACTCGATCAATTAAATGCAAGGGTGGTAAAAACACGAGCCAAATAGTGATCACATAATTACAATGTAGACTTTATAAAATGCCAAACAATATACTATGTACGTATACAATGCCAAACATTGTTATTCGCCTTTCATGGGATAAATTAATACAAATTTACACTCAAAAATTTTCTTTGCTTATTAAATTCTTCTTCTCAGATGGCCTGAGGTTGTTAGGCAAATTGGGCGGGCTACGCTGCTGACATGCTTTACCAATTTGGCATGGCCAACATACGCCGCAAGTATCCATTTAATATTTACTACCACTCATCCAACTAATTGGCATTAGGGAATTCAAACAAAAAATAATTTATGTTATTTGCTTGTTTCGCGAATCTTAGTGAACAGAGTGAGATAAAATCAGTACACTTCATTAAAGTTTAACCTTGCCTTGTCTGCCTAATTCGTTTCTTATTTTTGTGGAAATAGGAACCGGCATCATTTAGTTTAATTTGTCCTAAGAGGACAGATAAACGGCACGTTTCAACCCTGTTGATCTCATGATTTAGGCATGGAATGGACTTACAAACCATTTCCATTCTATTGCTGTTTTTTTACAACCATCAGACATTTCAATTAATAACATAATTTATATTTTCATGTACATTTTAAATAACCAATGGCGACTGTAAATGAAAAAAGCGAAATAATATTTTTCGGGATTTTTTAAACCCCGGGGTGATCCGGTTGATTAAAGTTTTACAATTTTATCGGCGTTAAGTCTGCGGCTGGATGTCCTTGAGTGCTTAGCCCGTACAACTCGATTATGGACTATGAAGGGTTGAAGGTAGAAAAGGGCGGAGTAGAAAATGATGGTAACTATAGTAACGGATTGAAGCCATCAAACCTTGCTACAGCTTCTTAAAGGCATGAAATTTATCACTTTTATATCTTCTCCGGGATGTTTTTGTGGTATCGAATTTGAATTCCGGTGCGTTATCTGGGAAATGGGAATCCAGTTTTTCCACGGAAGACTGGTGTCTTATTTGCTTTAAACACTCTGAAACCTACCATTGAAGAGAGCGAAACAGTGAAACCTGTCTGACAGACTAAAACATCGAGGATGTAAGGACCACGATGATCAACGGAACTACAAGCTGCCCTTGCAGACCACATTTTTTTCAAACAAACCTGACCACAGTGATCACACTGAAAATCTTATAATTTGTAGACTTTATCATAAAAACATTTTTCTATATTTTTATATTGGGTTTATTACAGAACATGGGTTCAAAATAATTATGACAAATAAAGATAATTAATCACCTTCATTCAACAACATCCAGGGTTGAACCTTTTCAAGTAACATGGTTTGAAACTTTTCGCACGCCTTCCAGCAAATAGTCTTCGAATTTAATTCTGTACAGCAATTTCGGAATTTTTTGCTTGCTAGTATTAGCATTTTGGCTTGCTCCCTGTCAGGGCATTTTCTGGAGGATCTAATGCGGGGTGAATAAACAGGAGAAACGCCGAGTACGTACTTTCTTCCGATGGAAAAAATATGTAAACACTTGCAGGCTTGCAAAGAATACATTATAAATCGCGAGATTTCCTCCTGTGATGTGGATCCTGTAACTTAGTCTGTTAGGCGGTTTAGATCAGACACACCAAAAGTTTCGCCGATTACAATTAGTTTTAAAACAAGAGGTGGTAAAAATTAAACTAAAACTAGACGCGAAAGTTATCACATTCATTACATATAAACAAACCAGATTAGCCATGCCCTCTTAGCTATTCGCAACTTCAGTCCATTCTGAGCGTAATGCAAAAGCAATGCTTTGTTGTTGTTATGAATAAATTATTGGGAGAGAAAAATAGATTTTTAGTTGCTGATCAAAGTATAGTAAATCATTGAGAACGAAATAGATAAGATAAAGAATAGAAAGAGAGAAAAGATAGTCATTTGCTGATCAAGGTAATTGGCGTGGCTAAATTTTTTAATTTTCACTGGGCGTGGCTAAGTTAGTTCAGTTTTCTGGTGGGAGTGGTTAAACATACCTCAAAATATTATCTTCGTTTTTTATTACTTTACTTTTTGGCATAACTAATACTTAAATTAATAATAATAGACAATTAATTAAGGTTTTTAATTGAGATGAAAAAAAGTTAATGGCACGAGAGGGATTCGAACCCACGACCTTCGGCTAGATACGCCGCTGCTCTACCACCTGAGCTATCGTGACCTCGATCCACTCGGACATCAACTCTCGTGCCATTAACTTTTTTTCATCTCAACTAAAAACCTTAATTAATTGTCTTGTATTAATTGGTCAAGCGGACCACGAAAATAGTGAATTAATGATTTAAAAATGAAGTACACTTCACTAAAGCTCTCCGTCGCCATTTCAATTGTCGTCGAGAATCCAAACCGATTACACGACATTTAAAAAATGGCAAAAGGAGGGAAAACTCATAAGGTGGGGTTGAGATGGGGAGTTGATGTCCGTGTGGATCGAGGTGACGATAGCTCAGGTGGTATTGAAAATAGGCAGGTCAAAATGATCATTCAAGACGATTCGACCAAATTATACGCTCACCACACTGTAGTCCAAAGGAGGAAATCTCATGATTTATAATTTATTCTTTTCACGTTGGTAAAGTTAAAAAACAAATAAGACAAAGAGATGTACTTCCTGAGCATTGGACACGAAAGGTTTTGAAGTTCAGTATTGTACCAAAGACCTTACTTCTACAATCTACGTCAGCATGTAGTTATCACAGTAGATTTCACTTGGTAGAAACATTTTTTCACAGGTTGCGCTAGCTTTCGTTGTAGGTTGAATTCTGTTTGTCAAAATTATCAATTCGCCTTCTGCAAAATGCCTTGTTTGATTTTACTCAATGATTAGTAGGTAATCTACATTTTAATCTTTTCGTCATTACCCATTTATAGACATTGCGAGATTTCTCCTTGACGTCTGCCAAGTGTTAAACCTTTAGTTTTGTCGTTTCCTGGTCTATCGTTTATCTGTCGGACGCGTTTCGGCATTCAGTTTCAGTGGTGGAATCGTTTACCTTCCTCTCCCTGCTTACATCCTTGATGCCACGCCAAGTTATTTATAGTAAGTGTTAATAATTTTGGCGATAGTAGTATTGACTTGATTTTTTCTCACTTTATTTATTGTTTTTTGCAGTAGAAAAAAAAACTTCATAAACATTGAACTCAAACAGACACAATTTTGTAGCAATTTCAGTATTCTTCTTACTTTCTTATTTCATTCTTCAACAATCCTTAATTTTTGCTTTATTATTTTTTAACTCAGAGAAAATCGGTAGTGAATTAGCTGCAGTAAGATATTTTAACTTTTATGAATATTTATTCTGTTTTGAGACGAGGAAACCTAATTTAATATGGTCGGGTAGTACTTAGGAGATTTCAATGCTATTGTACTTCAAAGAAAAGAGAATGAAAATTATTTTATGATTTTTGTTAACCATCTCGCCTGCCTCCAAGTAGTGGGAGCGGAATCGAGTCGATTTGTTTTCTTTCAAGACCCGCCCGTTTGACCTTAGATGGCCAATAAAATTGGATCCCGACATAACGCGTGTACCCTGACCAATTTCACCCATTGGGAAAAAGCATAAGGCCGTTCTTCCGTGTATCATTGTTGACAAAAAATTTCGCATTGTGTTGTCCATCATCGACATCGTTGCCGAGATGAGAGAGGGAATTGCTTCCTGGTCTAGTCCCATAGGAAATCTAGAAGAAAAACTTGTTTTGTATTTTCAGCAACCTCTATTGACTACATGACCACAATTCACGTTTACAGGTGTTCATTAAAGCGCGAAAACCTGCCATATTCGAATCGTTAAATTTTTCAATTCCAAACTGTCTTTCTTAACAATTTAATTTTTTTTTTTTTTTTTTTTGGGGGGGGTGTAAACCACAGGGAACGGTGTAAATTGCTATACAAAAATAAATTTAAATAACTCACCTAGTCATAGATGAAGAAGATGGCATTGGATATTCCTGACCTCCATGTCCTAGCAGCCTAAATAGATCTGTTAGCCTGCAAAATAAAGAAAAAAAATTGTTTCAATCACAGACAAAACCTTGTAATTATTCCATCGGAAACAGTGTAAACATTATTGGCGAGTATTGAATCACAAACAAACATTGACGTCAAGGTATCTTTCATTTAAAAAGCCAACAGTTATCGTAAAGACTTATATTCTTCCCTTTTATTAACAATGTTTCAGGAATAATTAATAAGACAAAACATAATATAAAATCTTCGCTTATTTTAATATTGCTGTTGTGATAATTGGTAGTGTTTCAGATTTAAGAGAAAAAATTTATATAACTGGTCTCTTGACTCAGATTAAAGGGTACTACAAAAGGAAAATAAGAAGAATATAATTAATAAAAATAATTATTATTAGAAAGTAATAAGATCGAAACCAAATAGAACCGAGAATAATATATCACTATTCTATCAAGAATATAATTTAAGTGTACCAATTTTTTATAAAAACGAACATAGTAGCGAAGAACCAAACATCATTCTTAAGTCAAGATATAGATCACTGAATAATAATTCCGATCATTTCAATGAACTAATTTAACCTAGGCTATCGTACAGTGTACTAAATTTGCCATGCCTACAACCCTGAAAAAGAAGCATTGTTTGTTTTATGGCCACAACCTTAATTCATGAGGCACTATTACATAGTAAAGGTTGGTCTATCGCATAGAAGATACTAACTTTCCACGACTAATTTACCCTGATTCTCTTTCTCTCGTCCTCTGTTGGTCAGTTTCTCTCTCTCTCTCTCTCTCTCTCTCTCTCTCTCTCTCTCTCTCTCTCTCTCTNTATATATAGATATATATATATATATATATATATATATATATACCTATCTATTTCTATCTCACTCTTTCCCCCATATTGTCTCAGTTAGGCTTATGTCTATAGAAGGGTTAGTGCTAATTTAGTGTTATGGAAGGGTTAGGTTAGTTAGGATTAGGGTTAAGTTAGGGACGGATTAGGTAAAGGAAGTTTTTAATCTTGTGTACATAAGGACTCTCTCTCTCTCTCTCTCCCTCCCTCTTTCTTTCTCTCCCTCACTCTCTCTTTCACTCTCTCTCTCTCTCTCTCTCTCTCTCTCTCTCTCTCTCTCTCCCTCCCTCCCTCTTTCTTTCTCTCCCTCACTCTCTCTTTCTCACCCTCCCTCCGTCCCTCACTCACACCCCCCTATCTCTCTCTCTCTCTCTCTCCTCCTTTCTTTCTGCCTTCGTATGCGAGAAATGAACAATTGTTTAAAAGTGTAGCCCTGTACATCGCTTATATAATATAATTCTTTTATGCTGAAGTTTCTTTCTAATTGCGGTTTGATGGCATAGGTAAATGGTTTTGAATGGAGCTGGTATCTCTCAGATCGAATTGAACTTAGTTTCCGTTTGACACGTCCGGTCGCCGTTCGAACATTTTCGCATCACTTTTTCCTCCAGCCTGGGAGAACAAGGTAAGCCAAACTCTTCTAAAAAAAAAACAGTAATTGTATCTTTATTATTTATGAAAAAGCCTAGAATAAATTCGCATAATAAAAATATTCGTTTAAAAAGTTTGTAATCTGAACAAATGAAGAGTTTAAATGTCATGTTTCTTCTTTAATCTTTAAAATATATAATTAAGTTCGATGAATTACTAATTGTACATAATTTTTACTTTGATTTGCGTTTTGAAACGAAAAATCGAAGTCGGAATATCTCGATGGAGGAAAGTACTTGGGAAAGAGAAACACACATTACATCTCGAAATCGTGGTGAACTTTGTTGTTGAAAATAAGGTTTCAAGCTCTGACCTAACAAGGCTATCTCTCGTATCATTTCGTGTCATTAGAAGTAGCATGTCTCTCCCCTCGTCCCTTCTCAGATACAATCATACATGATGGCTAATTTGATTAAATAACCTAATTTCTTATGTGGGGCAAAACACACGTTTGAAGGCCCGGTTTTTTGCACGTGAGATCTGTTATACAATACGTCCAAAATTATATAATTGATTAAACGCATGTTATTCATTCAAATTAGAATTTTTTATTTTGTTTAGTTTTTGATTGAAATGTAATAAACCGAAAGTCCAGTTCGTTCCGATTCTCATAAAAATTACATAACATATATTTGCTTCTTTTTAAACATATAAAAATAAACATATAAAAATGATAAACAAACTTTTCAGGTTTGATTAATATTCTTGTTTTTTAATATATAACGCGACACAGGCAGGTGGTTGAACCGTAGACATATGAATTTACAATTTCGTTTTAGGCAGGTTGCCAGGTAAAAAATAATTATTTTAATCCGGTGTGGATTGAATTGGCTTAACACGGATTTAAAGAAGGTAAAAAATGAGGAAAGTAAAAGTAAATTGGATTTTTACGTTCGCAATAGCAGAGGTCATTCGAAAGTACGTTGGTTATTTCAGGGCCGCTGAGATTCGAACCCGGGACTCTTACGATGATAATAAATGCGACAAAATTCTTAAATTCATTTAATTACTTATGAATAACTTATTTCTTTAGAAAAATCTATATTAGATAAAACAGTTATGTGATTTTTCGATTTTTTTCTACCGATGTACCGACCATAGTAGGTTATCGATGGTTAGGGATGGCAAGGTTTTACCAGTGATATGGTTCTTCAATCATTTTACAAATTGTAATATCTTTATATAAAGCCAACCTCTAATTTTTTAAATATAATTTTTCTGTTTTAACATTGTTCAATAGTTTTGGAAACGGTCAAACTTGGATAATTTTGTAATCGATTGTAATCACCTTTGATGTTTTGTCATCGATAGTCGGCCTCAAACGATTTTTTTTAAAATCTAACGTCAACCCTTTGTTCCATGTCTATTATAATAAATAATCTATTTACAAAAATCGATGGTCAAAATTTGAAGTTTTCTATTAGATTTTCAACACACGATGCAGGTTTCGTTAATTTTCAGAACAATGATTTTTTTCTTTCATTAGTAGTGAACATTCCATGTTTTTCATTAAAGATCGACTACATTTTTATTATCGATAGTCAGCCTTCGATATTTTCTATGATGTATGTTTAGAGTTTTTTTATTTTAGTTATTTATTTTTTTAAAATTCTATTCAACTTCTTATTGATAAATCTTCGACGTTTTTTCCGCCGATGCTCAACGTTTTTGCTTTTTTCATTGATAATCAGCATTTTTTCCCCATCAGATGTATATTCATTATTCACGTTTTGGGATTATATATTTTGGCATGGTATATGACATTTTATTTATTTGTTGTATTTTTACATGGTAAACCATAGATTTATTTATCTGCAGTCAACATTCGATTTTTTTTACCTATCAGTAAGGTTGCCTTACACAGTACCTTCTTATCTTTGATCTTTTTTGTTATGGGGTCAATTTTCTATGTTTTACGAAACTGCTTTAGGTGAATTTTATAATCAATTGAAAATTCTGTTTTTAAAATTGATATATAATTTATTAAAATTTGTATTTTATTAATATTCAATAAGCTAATTTCGACTCAACCGGCAAAAAACGAAAATACAGTAAATCGTGCGTTCGCGTATTGTTGAGAATTGGTCCTGTTTTTGTCCCTTACACGTGTTGTTTTCGAAACAAAGTTATTGTAAGGGTAAAGGGCATATTTCTGTTACCCTATCAACCCTTTTATCTCGTACCTTCTACGACGTCTCATCTCGCCAGACGATCTCGCCAATGCCACCCGTAAAGTCCCAGAGTAAATTTCCATGAATAATCCATCGCCGCTCTACTATGTACTGACAAAATGGAACAATAGAACGCTGACAACAACGATGGGTTAATACCGAGGTTTATTGTTTATTTACCATTTTCTCTTTTGCTCGATAACCTTATATATATTTTTTTAAACAATGTATTGTTTAGCAGAGATTTTGTAGTTGATTATGACATATTTTGAGAAAAACTTCTCCTCAATATCCTCCACTACCGACCAATGTCGTGGGATAGTTATAAATCAACACAGACAAAAACTTACCTGGAACTAACATACTATTATCTGAACATCGTGAAAAATGTTAATAATTAACTGCACAACCCTTTCTAAAGGTTTCTGATTTAAAGATATTTCCATTTTAAAGTCTCGATGATAGTCACCAAACCACTCTACCTTGTTTCACATCACTAAGCAAAGGACTAGTGATACAGAAACACTAAAATGTTCAGTCACTCAGAATCAAACAACAGTGTAGATTTTAACGTTATAGACAAAATGGATCACAGACTTAACCTTAAAAAGCACTGATCTGCGAAAAAAAATGCTTCAATGTCAAACAATTTACCTGATTTAACAGGGTCCAAATACCAAAAAGCGAACAGAACCCTTCAACATTTCTTTTATAAAGCAAAAATAGTTACTTAACAGTTATGTAATTTTTTTCGTAAGTAGAGACCTAAATAGGTAACTCGTCAATATATCAAAGTAAATAATTTTGAGTAGCATACATTATGTACATTGTGATTGTTTAAATGAAAAAACTTTTATGTCAATTTAGGAAAAAGATGATTATTTTTTTTCAGATGGTCTGCATATCAAATAATCAACCGAGTTGGCTTATTTTACGTATCGCATCACATTATAAATGAACTTGATAGAAATAATTATGTTTTCGAGGTCTTTTTAGCCATTAGTAAAGCATTTGCCTCAATCATGAGTTCTTATTGAAAAAGAGGTACACTATGGGTATTTCTGGTGTGACATTGAAACTTTTAGGTTCTTACCACTCTAATCGAAGTTTAGTAACTTGAGAGTTGCTTCTTCCGTTAATGTTCCATCTAATATTTTTTCTGTTATACTACGAGGATCAATGTTAGGGCCAATTCCGGCCTTTATTTATGTAAATCCTTTCTTAAAACTTGTTTATCTTTATTGCTTACTAAACTTTTTAGTTATGCTGATGATACCACTCTGATTTAAAAAAAAAAACTTTTTGATTTTTTTTTAAATTTGTGACCAACCTTCTATGTTTTCAGGTAGTGTGTTTGTGTTAATTTATTGGAATGAATGTAATTTATAAGCGCGAATCGTTTAACCCCGCCAAAGGAGTATCGAATACTTTGTGATCAATTTGTGACGTTTGCAGAGTAAAAGTAAGTTATTAGCGTGAATGGAGTGGGTTCAATCCCGCCCCGAGGAATAACGAGTACGAGGGGAGTGAATGTGACCAAACTTCTATATTTGTTATGATGTATATAGGCAAATGAGAGGCTAGCATTTTAAGATATCAACTTAGTTTTAATTATAAAAGCTAGAGTACTGGGCAAAAAAAATTCTAACAAATTAAAAAATATTCTAAGAAATCAGAATGGTATCATCAACATAACTAAAAAGTTTACTGGGCCAGCGATGACCTCATCTGTTTTTCGGCTCCTTTACTTCCCACATAATATATATTATAATTTTTTATTTAAGGTTGCCCTTCGATTTTTGAATGATTGTGAAATTAGAATTAATTGTACCAAATATCTGAAATTTAATAAGTTAATTTCTAATTTAAACTTAATTCTGATTTCACTGTTCAACTCTATAATTGCATCGTGGTGCTGAAAAAATCGTCCATTCCACAAAAACATCATTGCTTAGGTGTCTGTCTTGGTTTGGAACAGGCCTTAGACCGAGTCTGGGATTCATACGAGGAAGAATCTATATGCATTAGGGCATGTGTTCCTCAGGGAAGCATACTTGGTCCAATTCTATTTTCAATATAGACTGCAGATATTTCTACACATGTTAACATTTCAACGCATTCAGTGACGATACAGCGATTCTTACACGTAACTCACACCCCTCACACAATTAACAGTATGGTTCACAAAGTGGAGAATGATGATAAACCTAACAGATAAATTTTACTTTACGAAAATATCTGTCCTACAGTTAGTATACATGGAACCCTGTTGCCAACCACTGAGCTTGTGCGTTATCTTGGACTTTTCATGAATAAACGATTGACTTGGAATCCCCACACAGGACTGAAAAGATCTAGAAAGAGAGAAGTGAAACAAACTGACGTTTTATATTATTAAAAAGACTATTTGACCCTTGTTCAAAATTAGATACTGAAAACAAACTTTTAGTTTACAAAAGAACGATAAGGCATCTCTGGGTGTACGGCTGTGAAAAATAGGGCTCAATGAAGGATTCCAATTCCCAACGTCTCCAATCAAATCAGTCAAAAATTCTCCGTCAGTTTATAAATACTACTTTTTTATATTTCAAATTACACTATTCATAACGACCTACACATCCCGTTTGTACATGACCTCGCCAAAACCCGATGTAAAAAATTTCATCGATCATTGAGCATACACAATAATCGATAAAAAACGATATCACTTCCTAAACTACCCAAATATCGCCTAAGAATATTGAAGTGAAAGTGACTTCGAGACCTTCTCATTAAGTGAAGAATGAGGCGATTTCAGTGTGAA